CACCCATGTACTTTTTCATCAGTGTCCTCTCCCTGCTGGACATGTGCTACACTACTACTACCTTGCCCCAGATGCTTGCACATATCCTCAGCAAAAAGAGGGCCATCTCTTTTGCTAGATGTGTGGCCCGGATGTACATCTTCCTCCTCTTTGGAGTCACCGAGTCCTGGCTTTTCTCCATCATGTCTGTGGACAGGTACATGGCCATCTGCCACCCTCTCAGGTACAAAGACATCATGAGCCATGGAGTGTGTCTCCTCCTGGTGGGTATCTGTGTAGCCTATGGCGTGCTGGGTAGCCTGTGCTACACTTGCTTTGCTATGCGCCTGCCCTATTGTGGCCCTGATTGACCACTACTTTTGTGAAGTTCCTGCAGTTCTGAAGCTGGCCTGTGCAGACACATCCCTCAGTGACTTGGTGGACTTCATCACAGACTTCAGTGTCATCGTGGTTCCACTCTTTCTGGTTGTCGTCATCTATGCCAGCATCTTTGCCACCATCATGAAGATACGCTCAACCTAAGGGTGGATCAAGGCTTGTCCACCTGTGCCTCCCACATCACTGTGGTCACCGTGTTTGCCATTCCAAGCATCATCATGTACACGGGCCCTGGCTCTGGCTTCTTATCAAACAGTGGCAAGAAAATGGCTCTTTTCTATAATATTGCCACATCCTTCCTCAACCCCATTATCTACAGTCTAAGGAACAAGGATGTAAAAAAGGTTTTTTTCAAATTAATGGGATGGATCTGGGCTCCAGAATAAGGCTTTAGAGCTAAACTGGGCTCGGTGGCTCAGCCTGTAATCCCGCACCTTGGGAGGCTGAGGTGAATGGATTGCCTGAGCCCGCGGGTTCGAGACCAGCCTGGGCAACTTGGCGAGACCTCATCTCTACAATAAATTAAAAAATGAGCCAGGCGTGGTAGCGCGCGCCTGTATTCCTGCTACTTGGAAGGCTGAGGCGGAAGGATCGCCGGAGTTCAGCAGGTCGAGGCTGCAGTGGCTCCAGTCTGTGTGACAGAGTGAGACTCCAACACAAAAATAAAATAATATAAAATAAAGCTAAAGACCTGGGGAGCTAAACAAAGCAGGACCTGCAATCACCAATTTACCACAGACTCTTCCATGAGACTTAGAAGAGCTGGACTCTATAAAGATAACTCTTCACCCTTGCTCAGGTGGGAGAGGAACAAGGTTTTTGGACATCTGCAGTATCTACAGTGATGTTTGAGACACAAATAAGTATGCAGGTAGAGTGCAGTGGATAAAAGCCTGGACTTCAGCTCTAAACAAACCAGAATGAGAGACTTAGTTTTATCAGTTTGTAGGTATGTGAATTTTTACAAGTCAGTTCATTACTCTGAGAGTTGTAATTCTTTCTTACAGGGAAGTTGTAATGATTAAATAAGATAATATATAAAATATGCTTAGTACAAAGTCTGGCATGTAGTAATCTTTCAACAAATGTCAGTTTTAATTTTTAAAATATATTCCTCTAGGATAAATCATCAACCAATCATTGGCCATGATCCTTCTGGCCTGTGGAAGTGATTGGAGCCCTGAAGGGTAAAGGAAAAAGAGGGTAAAGTGAAAGAAGTAGAAACTCAAAAACTGAAAAAAGAGTTTCAGAAAAGGGAGAATCTTAGGGTGAGAAAGAGACTTGAGAAGGAGGAAATGAACTTGTATCTACCCATCTACAAACTGTGCCAGTTAGAGCATCTGAGGTTGACTAAACTGATCTTGAGGGGAGGGTTGTTTTGTAACAGTGTTTTGTTTCTGAGCTTTAAAAAACATTTTATTTTAATTTTTATTATAAAGATATGGGGTACAATTCAGGGTTAGGTATACAAACATTGATTATGCAGGTACCCTTGCTGATGAGGTGTGCCTCTTCCTCCCCTAGCAGTTTCCCTCAACTGCCAATTCCACCACCCCCCCCCGACAGTTTCCCACTACTGTCAATTTCTTTCTTATAGTAATATAATTGTTCAAGGTCCACTTATGAGTGAGAACACATGGTATTCAGTTCTTTGTTTCTGTGATAGATCACTGAGTATGATTGACTCCAAATCCATCCAAGTTGCTGCAAAGTCCATATGTTTGTCTTTCTTTATAGCTGCATAATATTCCATCATGTATATGTACCACATTTTTTGTCCAGCTTCGATGGGCAAAATGGTTGGTTCCAGGTTTTTGCTACTGTGTGTCTTCCAGAGAGGATGCACTAGTTTGCATTCCCACCAGCAGTGTAGAAGCATTCCTTTTTCTCCACATCCTTGCCAGCATCTGCTGTTGTTTGTTTTATTAATGATGGCCACTCTTACTGGGGCTAGGTGGTACCTCAATATGGTTTTGATTTGCATTTCTCTGATGATTAGTGAGACTAAGCACTTTTTCATGTGTCTGTTGTCTGCCCATATATTGTCTTTTGAGAAGTGTCTATTCATGTCTTTCGCCCACTTTTTAATGGGGCTGTTTGTTTTTTTCCTTTTGGTGCGTTTGAGTTCCTTATAGATCCTAGATCTTAGGCCTTTGTCAGATACACATTTGGCAAAAATTTTTTCCCATTCTCTGGGCTGTCTCCCTGCTCTGCTGCTCCTTGAAAGCAAGTCAGAGCACGTTTTTGCCCCGCCTTCAAGATGGTGGTGGGGAACCTCTCTTGTCCCCTTTTGTGGGAACTTGCCTCTGTACTCCCTTCGCTCACAGCCCCTGCCAGAGCCCCGCCAGGTGCTGAAGTGGTGTGGCAAAGCCAGGAGCAGCTATCTCTCTCCTGCTTCAATGGTGAGGGAGATCCTGAGGCGACAGTTTCTCCCCGCTGTTTTTTTCAAAGGAAAACTTCTGTCCGTTTTAAAAAAAATGACTCTCCACTTCTGTGACCTGGGAAGAGCCAAGGACAAAATAGAGAAACTGCAATACCAGCTGTTGCACCAGGGGCCTGGCCACCCACTCACCAGCCCCACTTAGACAGTCTCTCCCAGCATTTTCTTCCCAGGGAAGGTTTGTTGATTTTTTAAAAAAAGAAAAAAAATGTCACTCAGCTTTTGTATCCCGGGAATCACTAGGGTCCAAGCCCAGCTGCTGTGGCACTAGCTGCTGCACCAGGATAGCCCTGGCCACTAGCTTCCTAGCCCTCACTCAGTCAGCCGCTCACACGCCCACTCACTCACCAGCATGTACACATAATTTTCCATACACTCACTCACTCACACGGGGACTCCACAGTCCGACTGTCTCAGCTGTCATCTTCCCGACTCTTACTTTTTTTTTTTTTAAGTTGGAGTCTCACTCCGTCACCCAAATTGGAGTGCTGTGGCATGCTCACAGCCACCTCAGCGTCGACTTGCTAGGCTCTGGCGATCCTTCTGCCTCAGTCTTCCAAGTAGCCAGAACTACAGACACGGCTACCACACCCAGCTGATCTTTGATTTATTGTAGAGACAAGGTCTCGTCAAGTTGCCTGGGCTGGTCTTGAACCCATGGGCTAAGTCAATCCACTCACCTCAGCCTCTCAAAGTGCTGAGATTACAGGCTGAACTACCAACATTTTTTTTACCTCTTGATTTTTCTTTTCCCCTTGTTCTAAATAAAGTCAATTTTGGAAAACTACAGCCTGTCTTGGATGACTCAAGGAAAAGGGATTTGTCCACAGGGATGAAGGAAATGAAAAAATTTAAAGTGGAGAGAGTAATCATAATGTTACCCTCAGATGCAAATTTTAAGGAGTTGAAAGAGAAAAAACTCAATGGGAAGTTTTAGCTTTGTTCTGTCTTGCTTGGAGGGGTCTTCCCCCCAAATTCTGCTTAATCCTCATAGAGTCTTTACAAACCCTATATGAAGCCTGGGTCTATGCCAAGAGTATAGAATTTCAGTGTTCTAGAAAGTATTGTCCTGTGCACACACCCAGGGGGCACAGTGTTGCATTACATAATAATGCAAAATTAAAAGACTGGTGATAAAACAGGGCATATAATTGCAGCATACTTACAGATATGGTTCACATCATTAACATAGAAAGGGCTGTTCTAAATTGGTAAGAAAAATACAAATGCCTCAGAAAATTGGCAACAGATATGAACAGTTCACAAAAAGAAATCCAAATCATTAATACACATATGAGAAAATTCCACTGCAGTAGCCATCAAGAAATGTAAATTAAAATATCAATATCACTTTTTCACCTTTGAAGCTGCCAAAGAGTTTTTAAACAGAGGTATTAGAGGTGACCAGAATACAATGAAAAATGAACTTTCATAGATGGCTAGTGGTAGTATAAATTGATCTTTTTGCAAGATGATTTGGCTTTATGCATCAAGAACCTTAAATATTTTTATGCCCTTCAACCCAATAATTCCACTATTAGGATATTTTTGGAAATAGATATCAGAAGCTCAGGAAAAGTAACACAATTATTTTTATTGTGTTACTTATGATAGGGAAACATTACCAATTGAAAATACTTCTATAATAATGAATCATTTAAATATATTATGATTTGGCCACAGAATGTTATACAACACAGTAGTTGAAAATGTATTTCATAAGCATATTTAATCATGTAAATGCAACATGATGTGAAGTGAATAAAAGCAGGAAAGAGTTGATGAACAGCAGGTTGCAATTATACCATTAACAGCTGTAGTGCCGTTTTCTTTTCACTCTTGAAATCAGGCATCAAAGCTTATAATAGGGCAAGAGGGCCACTAAAGCAACACTTCTTTGCTAATACACACACACACACACACACACACACACACACACACACACACACGTTCCTCCAATTATAAACTCAATTAATGATATCACCATATTGCTTCATAATTATAACAAACTTACCACATCACAATATTGCTTCATAATTAAAACAAACTTACCGCATGCACTGCAAGATGTTAATAATAGGGATCTACACAAGAAATGAAGAGCCTTGGAAATATAAAATAGTTCTTATTTTTAATCTCTTCAGATAAAGCTAAGTGACTGCCTAAAGCAAAAATTGTAACAATGGACAGTAGAGGAGCATCAGGCCAAGAATCAGAATCCTGGATTCAGGTCCCTAATTTGTAGAAGTAAAATCCATGACTCAATGTGATCCAGGTCCCTAATTTGTAGAAGTAAAATCCATGACCCAATGTATGAGAGAAGATGAAGGATAGGAGGGAAGAAATAAAAGTGTCCTGTATAAGAATCTAACTTTATACATAAAGAGTTGTAACATTATTTGAGGCAGACTGTGATGAGTTAAGGGTATATTCTCTAAACCCTAGAGCAACCACTAAAGAAAAAAGAAGTAGCTAACAAGCTAGCATTGGAAATAAAATGAAATCACAAAAATGCTCAGTCTAAAAGGAGGCAATTCTAAAAAGAAGAAAAAAGAATGAGAATAGATGAGACAAATAAAAAACAATTAGTAAGATTGTGGATTTAAACTAAATTGTATCTATAATTGCACTATGGAAAATTGGGCCAAACACTTCAATTAAAGGCAGATTGAAAAATGTTTAATAAAAGCAAGGTCCAACTATATACTATCTACAATAAAACCACTTAAAATATAATTGACCTCATATTGGTCAATAAAACATCATATAAGCTCCAATCAAAAGAAAACTGGCGTTGCTTTATTACTATCATACACAGCCAAAGATTATTAGCAAGAATAAAGAGGGACATTATGTAATGATGACAAGGTCAACGTATTAAGATGTAACTGTTCTAAATTTTTACGCATCTAAAAACAGAACAGAGCTTGCGTAAAAACAGAAAGAAGAAAATTTAAAATCCACAATTAGTGCATGAGACTTCAACACTCCTCTCTCAGGAATCAATAGAACAAGGAAACAAAAATTCTGTAGGATATGGAAGAATTGAACAACAAGCAAATTCACTTTTATAGAACACTCCACTCGACAACAGAACACACATTTATTCTCTGCTCACTGGCTAGTAAATGGCAAAGCTGGGACCTGAATCTAAGATTTTCATTCTTGGCCCAATACTCCTCTACTGTCCTTTGAATATTAGCAATGTACAGAGTTTAAGGTGGTAAGCACTAGCTCAGGGGGCCTCTGACTCAAGACACCTTGGATTAGTGGCTAGAAAACAGAGGGACATCATGGGGAGAAGGATAGAGTGAGGACCATGGTGGGGAGGTATGCCACATATCTGAAATTTTCTCTAGTCCTCTCAGTGACATCTAAAACAATATTTAGGTCCAGCTGCCCCATTAAAAATCTGGAAGAATTTGTCCTCAAGCTGTCTGAGGTTCCCTTTGTCAGCCACCCTAGCACAGTTTGACCCACTGGAAGTCAGCAACACCAGGCCACCTCCTTGGTTCAGATGATGAGTTGGAGACTACAACTTTCACAGTGCCCAAGCAGGAAAGGTTTGTCAGAGAAAGAACATCTTGCATGCACAGTACTGAAAGACTATGTTACCATACAAGCCTTAGGAGATGTCATTCCTTGAGGGAAACAGACAAGCCTTGGGCCTGCGATACATTGACTCCAGTGTTCCTGGACACTTCTTGCATAGCTGGAGGAGTTGGGGGCTGAAGCCTGGAAGCATCTGGATAAACTTCATGAACCTGACTCAGAGTATAGAAATGGTGGAAACACACCTCTGCCCCTCATCTGTCCAGTGTGGCTGTGTGGCATGAGACAATAACCCACCAACGGAGCAGGACAGAATTTTGGGCTACATTTCTAGAGGGCCACATACAAAAGGAAACTGAATCTAGGGATTGCTACTGCTGGGCAGAAGATAGTAACAAATTGTGTTAAATCTAGTGTTTTGCATGGTGTTCTTACACATATATAAACTCATTTTTTTCCTCGGGTTAACCCTGTAAGGTGAACAGAAATGATGACTCTTTCATCTCATAAAGTTGGTGACATTCAATTCTTCAATGTGCCTGGAATTCATTCTGCTTCAGTGTTTTCCATTGTTTCCTTTCTTTTTTATTTTATTTTATTTTAAAGATGTGGGGTACAATTCAGAGTTATGTATACAAATGTTCATTATGCACGTACCCTTGTTGATGAGGTGTGCTCCCTTCTCCCCCCAGCAGATTCCTACTACTGCTGATCCTGCCCCAATCCTCCCCTGGCAGTTTCCCACTACTGCCAATACTTTTCTTATAGCAGTATGATAAATCGTCAAGGCCATCGGTGCCTTTCAAAACTCAGTTTAGGTGGCACCTTCCATTAACTTGTTTAGATCCACTTCTGCGTCACCTTCACTGAGTACTTTTTACATTTGTGTTCCCCAAGGACTTTAGTGACTTCCAAGTTTCTGAACATGTTGAATACATTCCAATTTTTGTTACGTTACATTTGAATTCTCAGCATTGTTCCTTCCTTATAAGTCCTTACTCCCTCAGATTCAGTGGCCCTACTCTTTCTTTGCCTTTTTCATACCTTTAGACATGTCTCTTCCTTTGATCATCCTTTAAATATTGGTGCTTCCCAGAATTCCAACATGCGGCTTCTTCTCACTTGGTTCATTCTTCTTAAGAAAGTCCACCAGCATCCATGGTTTTAACTGTTGCCAATGGGCTGGAGTTTCACAAAGCCATGTCTACAAGTTGGACCTCACTTCTGAGCTCCATGCCAACACCACCAACTGTTCAGTGGACACCAACACAGGGATAACCAAAGGCATCTAAAACTTGACATCTACAAAGTAAATTTATATTTCCTCACTATCTCAAATCTTGATACACTCTTCTATTTTTAATCCCAATAAGTAAAATTATCATCCATCCAGTTATCCAAGTCAGAAATATGGAAGAAATATATAATCCAACCATTCAAGTTTTCTCTTTCTCTCTTAACTTCTAAAACCAAATTTTATACACACACACATATATATACAGTCATGCATCACTTAAAAGACAGAGGTATGTTCTGAGAAATAAATCATAAGGTGATCTCATCATTGTGGAACAACATGGAGTATACTTCCTCAAACCTAGATGATATAACCTACTATATACCTAAGCTATATAGTATAGACTATTTTTCCTAGGCTACAAACTACACTGCATGCTACTGTACTGAATACTGAAGGCAACTATAACACAATGGTATTTGTATATCTAAACATAGAAAGAGTATATTAAAAGTATTATAGTCTTATGGGACCCCTATTGTAAATATGATCTATCATTGACTGAAATGTCTTTATGTAGTGGATGACTGTATGTGTATGTATGTGTATGTATGCATGTTCCATGGTTTCTACCTTATTAAAATCTTCAGTATCCATTTTCCTCTCCTATCCCCACACTCAGAGCTTATTACTTTTTGCCAAATAACTGCAGTGGTCTCCTAATGTGTTTTTCTGTTTTAATCTGGGTCTTCCTACCTACTCCCTATATTGCCACATAATATTTTCCCCACTACCTCAGCATGATCATTCTAAAATGAAAATCTTTTCATGCCACTCTTGGCTTTTAGGGTAAAATTCTAACTTTTTGCCATGACTTATAAGCCTCTTCATGATCTGGCAGTATTCTTATGACTACTCAGTATGGAAGAACCCAAATTTGAAGCCAAGTTGAACCACTTGAAGTTCTTTGAACATCAAGAATGAAAGAATAAAAAACAGTAAATAACTGGGTAAATGCAATAAACAATTTTTCTTTCTCTTGTGTTCTTTAAAATATGTTTGGTGGTTATACCTGGAGGAACTCAAATCATTCTACAAAAAAGATACCAGCACACGCATGTTTATTGCAGCACTATTCACAATAGCAAAAACATAGAACCAGCCATGCTGCCCTTCAAAACTGGACTGAATTTTTTAAAATGTGGTATGTATATACAATGAAATATTGTGCAGCCATAAAGAAGGACAAACATATGAACTTTGCAGCAGCTTGGATGAAAATAGAGTCTATCATACTCAGTGATCTATCACAGAAACAAAGAACAGAGAACCACATGCTCTCATTCATAAGTGGACCTGAACACTTACCACAATACTATAAGAAAGGAACTGGCAGTAGCGAGATACTGCCAGGGTGGGAGTGGGGGACACAACATCAATAAGGGTACCTCATTTCAAACCAGGCAAAATGGGGACCAAAGGGAGGCCCAAACTTTATCTGTATTATGACCACTTCTATACCTAATCCTGAATTGTACCTCACATCTTTACAATTTAAATAAATAAATAAATAAATAAATAAATAAATAAATAAATAAATAAAATATATTTGGTGGTTAAAAGCAAAAATTATAACATTATAACATGTAAGATAGCTACAACTTAAAAGGAGAGTGTAAACGGCCTATATGGTGATTAGCTTCCTACATGACACTTAAAGTAGTAAAATACCCATTTTAAGTACATGTTAAAAGTTAAGTGTGTATATTGTAATTCCTAGAGCAACCACTAAGCAAATTATACATAGAGATAATATAAAAATTAAAATTAAAAGCTATAAAATGCTATTTAAACACACAAAAGAAATCCAAAAGGCGTAACAGAAGAATTAAAAACATAGGAAACAAACAGAAAGCAAATGATAAAATGGTAGAACTAAATTCAAGCATATTAATAATTATATTAAATGTAAATAAACAGAAATTAAAGAAGAGAAATTGTCAGATGGATTTTTAAAATTATTCAACTCTGTGTTATCTACAAGAAACTCATTACAAATATAAAGATATAGAACATTAAAAGTAAAGAATGAAAAAACGTACCATTGATGCAAACACTAATCAAAAGAAAACTGGACCAGGTGTGGTGGTTCACACCTGTAATCTTAGCACTTTGGGAGACAAGGTAGGATTGCTTGAGCCCTGGAGTTTGAGACCAGCCTGGGCAGTATAGTGAGAACTTGTTTCTACAAAAAATAAAAATAAATCTTAGTTGGGCACGGTAGGGCATGCCTGTAGTCCCAGCTACTCAGGACTTGGGAGGCTGAAACTGGAGGATCACTTGAGTCCAGGCAGTCCACTGCACTCCAGCCTAGGTGACAGAGTGAGACTCTGCCTCAAAAAAAAAAAAAAAAAAAAAAATTACTGACATCAAAATACACCTCAGAGCAACAACCAAAAAACAACCAGGGACAAAGTGATGCTGTATAATGATAAGGAGTTAATTCACCAAGAAGACATACCAATCCTAAATGAGGGTACACCAAACAACAGAGTTTCAAAACACAGGAAGTGAAAACTGATAGAACTGAAAGGAAAAATGAACAAATCCACAATTATATCTGAAAACTTCAACATCTCTTTCAGTAAGTTACAGAACTGGTAAAAAATCAACAAGGATGTAGACAAGTAAACAACAACATTATGCAACAGAATCTAACTAACATTTATGGACTACTCCACCCCCTCCCAAATAACAGAATACACTTTCTTTTCTAGAATAAATGAAAAATTGGCAAGATACACTGTATCACGGGTCATAATCCAAACCTTAGAATGAAGTCATACAAAGTAAGTTCTCTGGCCATAATGAAATCAAACTAAAAATCAATAACAGAGATAAGAAATCATTCAAATTATTAGAAATGAAGCAAAATACTTCTAAATAATGCATGGGTGAGAGAGGAAGTCTCAAAAGAAATAAAATATATATTGAGCTGGATAAAAATGAAAACACACCATAAAAAAATGACCACTTCTTTGGAAAAGGGAAATTGATATCCCTAACTATGTATATTAGAAAAGAAGAAATTCCTCAAGTGAATAATATAAGCTTTCACATCAAGAAACAAACAAACAAACAAATACATCCAGAATAAACATAATGAAGGAAACAGCAAAGATAATAACAAAAATCCATGGAATTAAAAATAGAAAAGACAGAGAAAATCAATAAACTAAAAGCTTGAAAATCTCAATAAAATTGATAAAGCTCTAGCCAGAATGACAAATTTCAAAAGAGAACATACAAATTACTAATATCAGGAATGAAAAAGTGAACATCTACAGCTCCTGCCAAAATCAAAACAATAACAAGGGGATATTTCAAATAACTCTATGCATATATTCAACAAATTGGACGAATTACTCGAAAAACACAAAATGCCAAAACTCACCCAATATGAAAAATAGTCTGAATAGTTCTATAACCGTTTTAAAAGTTTTTATTTGCTCTTTCTTGACTTCATCTTTGCAGTAGCAGCAGTCGGGGCTGAGGTTCCGTTGCCACCGTGCAGATCTTTGTTCGCGCCCAGGAGCTACACACTGTTGAGGTGATCGACAGGGTGACAATCGCCCAGATCAAGGCTCAGGTAGTCGCACAGACGATCAAGTTGTACTCCTGGCAGGCACGCCGCTGGTTTGGAGGTTTGGAGGATGAGGCCATCCTGGGCCAGTGTGGGGTGGAGGCCCTGGCCACTCTGAAAGTTGCCAGCAGCATGCTTGGAGGTAAAGTCCATGGTTCCCTTGCCCATGCTGGGAAAGTGAGGAGTCAGACTGCTAAGGTGAACAAACAGAAGAAGAAGAAGACAGGCTGGGCGAAGAGGAGAATGCAGTACAAACGGCGTTTCATCAATGTCGTGCCCACCTTTGGCAAGAAGAAGGGCCCCAATGCCAACTCCTAAGTCCTTTGTAATCCTGGCTTTCTCTAATAAAGAGACTCAGCCCAGTCAAAAAAATTATATTTTAATACCTCACATAATACCGCTCCAAGTCTAAACGGTTTTGATGGTGAATTTTATCAAATATTTAAAGAGGAAATTACACCAATTCTACACAATGTCTTCCAGAACATAAAAGAGAGGTGAACATGTTCCAACTCATTTTATAAGTCCTCCAACCCTGATACCAAAAGCAGACAGACAGGAAAAAAAATTCTGTATGAGCATAGATGTAAAAATCTCAACAAAATATTAGCAAATTACTATGGAATGAATTGTGCCCCCTGACCAGTTCAAATATTGAAGCCCTAGCCCCCAATGTGATGGTTTTTAGTGTAGAGTTGGGACCTTTGGAAAGTAATTACATTTAGATGGGGTTATGAGAGTGGAGCTCTCATGATAAAATTAATACCCTTATAAAAAGAGATGGCAGAAGTGTCTCTTTTTCTCTCTCTCTCCCTCCACTCCCACATGTGCCAAGGGAAGGTCATGTGGTTCATGTGAGTACACAGTGAAAAGACAGCCATCTGCAAGCCAGGAAGAGCCCTCTCACCAGGAATCAAATCTGCGTGCATCTTGATCTCAGACAATGAAGAATCCACAACCATGAGATATAATTTTCTATTGTTTGACCCAGTCTATAGTATTTTGTTATGGTAACCAGCACTGACTTAGACACAGATGAAATCCAGCAGTATATAAAAAGCATCATACATCATAACCAAGTGGATTTTATTCCAGGTATGCAAGGTTCATCCAATATTTGGAAATAAATTAATGTCACTCATCACATTAATAGTCTAAAGAAGAAAAGCTACGTAATCTTATCAATCAAAGCAGAAAAAGCATTTGACAAAATTCAGCATTCATGGTTTAAACAAAACAAAACTTAGCAAACTGGGAACAGAAGAGAATTTTTCATCCTGATAAAGAATATCTACAAAACCCTCCAGTTAACATTATACTGTTTATAATGGTAAAGACTAAATGTTTTCCCTCTAAAATCAGGAAAATTACAAGGATGCATGCTCTCACCACTCTTATTTGAAACAGTACTGGAAGTCAGTCTTGACCAGTACAATAAGGAAAGAAAGGGAGAATTTTAACTGCCTCTATTTGCAGATTATGTGATTGTCTTTATATAAACTTCCACAAGTTCTAAACAAACAAACAGAAAAATCTTTTAGAATGAATTAATGGATTTACTCATGCTGCAGGAAGTTAAGACACAAAAATCAATCCTATATCTACATAATAGCAATAACCTTTGGAAACCAAAATAAAAACAATACTCAATAGCTCCATAAATTGAAATGTATAGGTATAACTTAACAAAAAGTGATGAAAGAAATCAGATAAACCTAAATTAACGAAGAGATTTATCATGCTCATGGGTTAGAGGACTCAAATAAAAGCCAATTGTCAATTCTCCCTGAACTGATCTTTAGGTTTAATGCAAATTCCCATCAAAACTTCAGCAGGACTTTTTGTTGATGTAGACAAGCTGATTGTAAAATTTATGTGGAAAGGCAAAGACACTGGAATAACTTTTTAAAAACTGTAAAAAACAGTAAAGATGGAAGAATTGTACTACCTAATTTCAAGACATTATATAGCTACAAAAAATCAAGAAAATGTGGTATTGGTAGATGAATAGACACAAAAATCAATGAAATAGAATAAAGCATTCAGAATTACCCACACAAGTATGACCAACTGATATTCTATGAAAAGCAATTCATTGGAGGAAGAAAAGTCTTTCAACAGATGCTGTTGGGACAATTGGATATATACAAGACCAAAAAAAAGAGCCTCAATCTAACCCTCATGCAGAAAATAACTCAAATAGATTTTAGACTTAAAAGTAAAATGCAAAATTATAAAACATATTATTAAAAATCAGAGAAAACTTTTGACGTAGGTTTAGGCAAAGGTTTTTTTACACCAAAACATAATTCATAAAATCAAAAATTGATTAAATTGACTAGACTTTACCAAAAGTAAAAACCTTGCTCTATGAAAGACTCTCTTAAGACAGGCCACAGACTGAAAGAAAATATTTACAAAGTTCTCTGTCAAAGAACTTATATACCGAACATATAAGTTATTCTCTAAACAAAGCTGTTAAAAAATATCCAGTTAGAAAAACAGACATTTCAGCAAAGGGAATATACAGATGGTGTATTAGCACATGAAAAGATGTTCAATATCACGAGCTATTAATCAAATGCAAATTAAAGCTATGAAGTGATATCACTACACTATTACACTATTTAACCTGTTAGACTAAATAAAATAAAAATTACTGATAATACCAGTGCTGGAAAATATGCAGAGCAGCTGGATTTCATATATTGTCGGGGGAAAGCAAAACTGTGCAACTTCTCTGGAAAACAGTTTGTCATCTTTTTTTTGATAGCCTTATTATATACAATTCATATTAAACAAAATTCATCCACTTAATGTTTAAAACTCAATGGTTTTACTATATTTACAGAGTTGTATACCCATCGCAACAATCTAATTTTAGAATATTTTCATTACCCCCTAAAACAAAATTCCATACCCATTAACAAACAGTCCTCATTCTCTCCATCTTATTCCCAGATCTAAGCAACTACTACTAATCTCTTTTCTGTCCCTATAGATTTACCCATTCTGGACATTTCATATAAATGGAATAATATGATATGTAGATTCTTGTGACTGACTTCTTTCACTGATTTCAAAGATCTTCCATATTCTAGCACATATGCACTTATTAGTGTTTCATTCCTTTCTTATTGCAAAATAATATTCCATTGTATGGATCCATTGTATGGATATGCCAAGTTGTACTTATTCATTCACTGATGGATAGTTGAGTTGATTCCACTTTCTAACCGTTATGAACAATCTTACTATGATCATTCATGTGCAAATGTTTGTGTAAACCTAAGTGTTTTCACTTATCTCAGATATATATTAGGAGTGAAATTGATGGATCATATGTAACTCTATGTTTAACATTTTGAGAAACTGTCAGGCTCTTTCCAAAGCAGCACCATTTAATATTCCTGCAAGCAGTGTATGAGTGTTCCAATTTTTTCACATCTTCATCAAAAATTGTTGTCGTCTATCTTTTAATTTATAGCCATACTAGTATATATGAAGTAGTATATCATTGTGGTGTTGATTAGAATATTATTATAAAGTTAAATATAATACACATATCATATTATTCAGCAATCACATTTCTGGATATTTACTCTAGAAAAGGAAACTTTTCTGAAATCTTTACACAAATATTCATAGAAGTTTTATTTATAATAGCCAAGAACTGGGAACCCTAGCTATTACATTCAAGTATGCTTCAACAGGTGAGTGGACAAACAAACTGTGGTACCTGCATATGATAGAATACTATGTAGTGGGGGAGTCGGGGAAGATGGCAGCTGAGCTGGTCGAACTATGTGAGTCCCAGTGTGAGTGAATAAGTGTATGGAAAATTTTGTGTATGTGCAGGTGAGTGAGTGGGCATGTGAGTGGCTGACTGAGTGAGGGCTAGGGGCTAGTGGTCAGGGTTCTCCTTGTGCAGCGGCTGGTGCCACAGCTACTCAGCTTGGACCCTAGAGATTCCTGGGATGCAGAAGCGAGGACCATTATTACTATTATTATTATTATTATTATTCAACAAAACCCTTCCTGAGAAGAAAATGCTGGGAGAGACTGACTAATTGGGGGCTCATGAACAAGTGGACAGGGCCCTCCTGGTGTAGCAGCTAGTGCTGCAGCTTCTTTGCTTGGTCCCTGGCACTTTCCAGGTTGCAGAAGGTGAGCGCCATTTTTTTTTAATGGACAAAAGTTTTCCTGTGAAGAAGCGGTACAGAAAGAATACTGGCTCCAAGTTCTGCATCACCACTGCAGCAGGAGAGACTGCCAGATCCAGGTTTTGCCTCACCACTTCAGCACCTGGCTGGACACTGGCAGCAGGGGCTCCAGAGGGCACCCAGAGCCAGAGTTCCACTGGAGAGGACAAGAGAGGCACCCCATCACCATCTTGAAAGCAGGGCAGGAAAGTGCTCCGACTTGCTCACCAAGGAGCAACAGACCCTGTGACTGGTGGATCAACTACTTGGGTTGATCGTGATCCAGAGGGAATATCCTGAAAGCACAAACTTCAGAGGGACCTGATGAATGCTGAGTCTCAAGTGCCCTGCCCTTTTCTGGCCACATCCTTTGTCCTGGTCCTGCTGCAGGACAAAGGTTGTGGCCAGAAAAGAGTGAGGAAGAACTCCAAAGAGATCAGTGATGAGTCCAGGGCTGACCCAAACTCCCTCCTCCCCAGTAATCCTCTGAATGTCAGACCCACACAGCTGGGCCACAACTGAGAGGGACAAACCCAGGTGGAGCTTGGACATCAGTCGCAGTAGGAGAACTCCATTCCAGGATAGGCCTGGCTGGGTCACCCCAGTGAGTAGCAAGTACATACCTGGGGAAAAGACAATCCTTCACCTCCCCACTGGAGAAGATCATTCTGACCATATGAGAGTGGGAGGGGAGGACTGCAGCCCCACCCAGCCCCACTGCCCCTAATCTTTCTCTGCTCCAGACACAAGGAGAGAGTGAAAGAGGTGGAAGGTCTACAGGAGAGAGCATATGAGAGGAACAGTTACAGAGCCTGCTACAAGAGGGCAAGGATTTTTTTTTCTTTTTTTTAATTAAAAAAAATTTTTTTGCCTGTTTGTTTGTTAGTCATCTATTTTTTAAAATTTTTCCTTTCTGCATAATTGTGTATGTGAGGGCTTGATCTGCATAACCCTTTTTTCTCTTTTTTCTTTTCTTTTTCTTTCTTCTTTTGTTTTTTGTTTATGTTTGTATGTGAATGACTGAGTGTTCATCTTTCAGTTTTTTTTGTTGTTGGTTTATTTTTGCTCTTCTCTTTTTAAAATTATTTTTATTATTTTTACTTTAAGGTGTGTATCAATATATGTGTGGGGGTTCAATCTGAATTCCTTTGTTTTGTTTCTAATAGTTCT